AGAACCAAGGAAACCATCGTTGATCCTGGGTGGACATAGTGTCGCCAAGTCTGCTCGCGTAGTCCAGTTCGGTATAGGAGACTCTCGACAACAACTCTAGAAATGTCTGACGGTGGAGAAACTGGTACGTAATACTTACGCACGCGATCATAATTTTCTTAAGAAGATGAGAATTCAAGCTTTGGTCACACATTTCGTGCCGGCCCTAACCTGTCTGTTCTTCTGCTATTCAAACAAAAATAAGAAAGAAAGGAAGGATCTAAGATAGGATCCTTCACTAAAAGAGATCGATCGAATTGACGAGAGAAAGGGAAAAAGGGAAGAGGTGAACGTGTGTGTGAAGCCGTCGAAAGGGTCACGCGAGGAGAATCATCGGTTGATACGGTCACGTGCTCCACCCATTGAACCCTGACATTTAGCAGCTACTTTCGCTTGTGCATACATAGTGAAATATCCGACAAATATCTCCACGAAATTGTTCTATCAAAGCACATCAGCTCTAAATTTACAGTTTTGTATTACTAAGATACTTTTAGATTATTGAGAATAAAATGTGACATCTAGAATAAAATCCTTTGAAATATAAACAATCTTGGATACATAATCAAGATAGGAAGTTTGAAATTAGTTTAATACATCCAATTCTCTATATTTCATATATCATATAGATTTTTGAAATTTATTTAAATTCTTTGTAAATTTTCAAACACACATCGGAAGCACTGCTTAGTTTCTATAATCAAGACCCACCTTCAGATGAGTCCATTGTCCAACGTTATACCATTGATCAGATACGCAGAAGTTCATGCAATGATATCGTACTTTTTTAGCTTTCTTAGTGAATTATTGACAATTGTATCTAGAGGTCTTGACGCAAGAATGCTATAACTCGACGAACTACTCTTAGCTCTTCCTATTCCCTCCATCAAGATTACAGACACTGACCTCAAACACTATCGTCATCGACCGTAACATTTACATTGCTTATGATCCAATAGAAATAGATTCTTGGTAATTTCTGACTTTGCATTCTAATGATAGAATCTTTTCTTAATAGAATTTTTATTTCAATTGTTTTATAACGAAGAACTGAAACTGGCTTGAAAATCGAACTGAAAATTTCAACTCCATTTAGACATGTTATTAAAATTATATTCCTAATATTAGAATTGTAGAATTAAAGTTGATGTTGTCTTTATACATACTAATCAAACATACGCGTTACGCGATTAATATAATCGTAGTAATGTATCTTTATCTAACAATAGTATTATAGGTTCATTGATTATTTTAAATTTACAAGAAAATTCGTGTATTGTTTTATAGCAAAATCTTAAATGTGTTTGTATTATATTTTTATTAGTATGTATATTACGTATATTAGTGAATATTATTAAATAGAATGGAAAAGATTTCAACTATTAGATATTTCTGATTTGCAAGAGAAAGAAAAGTGTGAGGAGTTCCTTAAAAAGAGTATCCAGAAAAGAAGAGAGTGATTTCCTATTGGTTGCGGCCGCTATTAAATAGTTTGTTTATGAAAATTTAAAAAAGTGCACACAAGATTCTTCGCATAAGGAGAGCACATTTCTTGTAAGTGAAGAAAGATATTTCAAAAATAGGCGCTAGATAACCCTTGATTAATTTCATTCAGGAATATACTTGATGTACTTATTTTTTTTATAAAGACAAGCTATGTCCTTATTGTTAACTAGAAGGCTTAAAACACGAACAATAAATATTTTTAATAAGTATTTTTTATTTCTCAGCAAAAATCCAACGCATCCTTAAGTTAAACGCTTCGTATAGTGACGTATATTCCCAAAAAAGAAAAGTACTACGAAGTACATAAAGTGAGCACGTGTGCTTCAATATAAAGTCATCCTTAACCGGTTGCGTTCAAAACAAAAGAAAGAAAAAAAAGTTCTTTGGAGATTTACTAATATGTGATGTCTGATAAGTAAACTATTTCAATTGTGTCGCGTTATTTGGTGTAATGTTGTAAGTCTATAGACTAATCTTATAGACTAATATATGCATAAATATGTCATCTTCTGAATCGCATTTGGCCTCAATCGGCAGTGAGAAGAAACCCTTTATGCTCCTTCTTGTGAATCCTCATGTCAGTTTGTAACACAAACTATACCTCTTCGTGATAATTGTCGATGATATGTCCCTTGTCAGGAAACGTATTTTAATGATGTATATGATCCCAATAGAGGACTAAGAAGATATAGATGTGTTAGATTCGCTCCAAGTACGCATATTAATGACCTCATTAATGAAAGGAAGTTAACAGGAATAAGAAAATAAGGATTACTGGAGTTAGTATATACAAAGGTGATCAGTTAAAAATTAAAAAAAAATCATCTCTTAATTGAATATACATATAAAAAGTAACTTCTAAATAAAGATAAATAGAATTTACCAGATGCGCGATATGACGGTTGAAGTTTTATCTTATTGTTAGTAAAGACCATCAAAAGATTTCATTTGCGTATAATAAAATGTATTGCAATGTTTTCGTGTTACGATTAACAGGGGAACCTATTAAGGAACCTTTTTAATTAATAAGGTAAAGTTGCTCGAATTGTATTACTGCCTAAATCAGTTTTTGTTACCATCAGCGTGCTATCACAACAATTAAGTTTATAGTTGTTTTCTTATAATTTTTTAAATATGTTTTGAAGATTTTAAAGCCATATATTATTGATAAAGTTTTTGTTTTAGTACTTATTCTATAGTATTGAAATAGTTGTACCGAAATGATATTTAAATAGTATTATTTACATTTTTACTATGTTTATTTGTAATAAAATAAATGCTGCGTCTTAAATCGTTCTGTTACCAACTTAAAAATAGCCTATTTTAAAAAAATTTTTTGACATGGTGATAATTGCGAGGAAAATTTCGTTTGCAGGCTTTACTATACACGCTTTTAATATTAGCAATTTTTTTCATTGCAAGTAGTCACAAAATGGCAGCGCCATAGTTCAACTAAGCGAACCTCATATTAAAAACAGTATTTAACAAAACTTCAATAAGTTCATGACTGATTAACTTTATATTTATACTGAAGCTACATTGTTACATTATGTATAATAAGGACTTATAAGCGAATCTTACCTTGCGCTTATCACATTCCCATAAAAATATCTCAAAAATAGGCTATTTTTCTGAGAGCTAGAGTAACATTATCCCTTAAGGAAACCCTTTTTTTCCATTATTATGTGATCAATTTTTATACGTAAGTTATATTGAAATATGTCAGATATATCTAACAATAAGCCAAAAAATGTAAAAGCAATTGGTTGTATAATTTTTGTGCAAAAGATTATGTAGAAAATATGTTTCAATGCTTACAATGTATATAATATAATATGGATACACACGGTCTATACATTTGCAGGAATGAATTAAAAAGATATTTTTATAATAATTGTAAAAACGAATCCTACTAAATTATTATTTATAGATATTACCTTTGGTTATTTCTTTTTCTTATTTTTATTATTAATAGATTATAGATTGTACGACTTAGAACCCTGATTCCTTAATCGTGTGATGTTGTTTATTTATTACGTTTTGTTAATTTTGTGTAAAAATATGTAGATATTTTAAATTTCATTAAAATAAATGAAATCAATGTTAAACGGATTTATCAAAAATAACAAAATTTCTTCTTTGAATATAAAATGTCATATTTTTTATGCGCTTTTTTTCTTATGGGATACGACTTCAGCAACCTTATAATATATTATCGAGGAGTATCAAACCGTTCGAGCCAGCAAACGAGTGTAGACTTAATAGTACGCCTCTTGTCTTCGAATCCATAGCTTTTTCCAAATCCACAGTTTTTCTTATTATTAGTCAAAAAAATGTTTTCGCACTTATTTCTCATTTTTCGAAAAAACAATAGTGGTACAAAATTAACCGTCACGGGTTTGTGATAACTGAGAATATTGTTAAAATTTGTTATTCTAACAGTGACTGAGGCATGATTTAAATTTTATATTCAGGTACGTTTACTAATTTGAATAGTGATGTGTACTTTGATCTAAGATTTGATTATAAAAATTTCTAGATATAGGTCATCATCAAAAATTCTAGATATAGTAGTCATCATTTGTAATAATTGAGTGAAATTTCATGTACATATGTAATTTTATTCGTGTTATTTTACTTAGAGGCTACTAGAATTTCTTCGCATTAACAATAGCTTTTTTCTATAATGTGATTTCTATTCTATGCTCCAGATAATAGGATTTTTTTTACTTTAAGCGTGTACATATTTGTTCACTCGTGGTATAGTCATAATCATCAAAAAATTATTTAATGTATCGACTAATCGTTTAATCGCGATATATTTTTCAGTGAAAAGAAATATTTCAGAGGTGAGATATTTGATTTCCAGTGTTACACTTAAAAATTCTAATGTAATGAGTAAGAAATTACATTTAATGTGTGTAAAGCCTTCCAGTCTATTTGCCTGTTACTCTTTACTATGGCTTGATTTTGAATTATACGGACGCGCGATCGAGAATTTAATTTTTTTCGATGTCTTTTAATTCATGATATAATACAGCGCCAATAGGCGCAGCTCTGTAGAAATTAACTTGATCAAAGTTAGCAAAATCTTTAAATTATGATGGTCAACGCATCGTTCAGGCATATTTTTTATAATTCTTGATACCAATAAACAATCTTCTCTAAACGTGTATGCATCAACGTGTGTGTATCAGATCTAGTTTCTCCGGTAAAAAATGGAAAAATTGATTAAATTTGGAGAATCCCTTCGATTGATGATCCTCTCGCGATTTATGTAATATTCTAGCCTCTAATTGATAAGATATTATGTGTATAAAGCTCGTATATATTTATATGCGATTGGGCACTGTTTAAGAATTGATATTTCCTCATAGTTCCCACTCCCTGGAAATTTCGGAAGGTTTTATATAATATTACCTCCAGATGAATCTCTAATATCATACTCGGTTGATTGTAACAAAGAATCGGTAATTAACGCTGCCTTTGGTCTTCTAAGCAAAATTTCAGGTTGAATAACCATTTATCTAATCATCTAAAGAACGATTGTCATGAAAACATAATTTGAATTAATTCGTAAGACTTATCCACTCCTCATAACGACCATTAAGTCGATTTTGAGTAAATGCATTCTATCATCGCTTAAACGAAGCACATATTTCCTTCAAAATTCCGCTTTTTGCATTAAGTTTCTTTAAATAATTTTATGAATTATGTATATATGTATGACATATATCCCAAAAAAACGAAAGTACTGAAATAAAAAGCATATAAAATGAGCACGTGTACCTCAACAGTTGATAATCGGTAGTTCATCAAATGTGATAGAATCGAGTATACCATATAGAAGTAGAAATACATGTATTTAGATCAGTCTTACATTAGAATCCTCTTGAAAAGAGAAAACGTTTTAAAACATAAAAACAACCTTGAGTCACGAAAAGATGTTAAAGTAAGTTTCTCACATACTCTATCGTCTCTACATTCGATAGTTTCTTTACCTTTCTATCGCTATGATTCGGATCGTCGTAGTTCTCGTGACTTAGAAAAACTTTTACTTTAATCTTCTCACTGAGAAACAAGATAGTCCCGTCGAGAGGTTTTGAATAAGAAAGGAGATCGGTTGACGCCTGGCAGCCACGCGAGAATCCATGACGGAGTGATCCGCCCTGACTAGAATCACCCACGCGAAATCACGAACTTCCCACATTCTTTTTATGTATAAGCACGAACATTAGAGGCAACGTGAGGATCCGCCGTTTAGCTTGAAATCTAAACTGAGATCGGTATTTCTCGTTATCATGTAGATAGGTTGGTAGGCGGTTAACACCTAACATGCTTCCCGAGTTGGCCGAAGCCTTCAGTCTCTCGCCGTGTCTGCTACCTGGATAATCTTAACAGAGCTTATTCGCGCGGTTAATGGCCTTTCACGGGGAAGGACGTGATCCTTTAGAGCACACCAGTCTCTATCAAAGAGCCGGTTAGACGACAAATTCAATTCAAACGTGTGATATTTTGTTATTAATAAAATAAAAAACGAGTTTCAAAACGTTTCTATAAAATATTATTTCGGTTATTTCGTAGCGATGATCATAAATCGATAATGATATATTGTAAAGATACTATAAAATTGGAATAAAATTGGTTTCAGAGAGCGAGGACAGTGATGCCGAAGGTGGTTTGGGAAACGTAAATAAACTTGTAATACGTCCGCCCGGTCATAGTGGGAAAGCAAAAAAAGGACACATCTGTTTCGATGCCTCATTCGAAACCGGTAACTTGGGTCGGGTAGATCTTGTTTCAGAGTTCGAGTACGATCTTTTCATAAGACCGGATACCTGTAGCCCACGACTTCGCCTGTGGTTCAACTTTACCGTTGACAATGTAAGATCCAATCAGCGTGTTATATTCAACATAGTGAACATATCGAGAAGTATGAATCTTTTTCAAATCGGCATGGCACCTTTAGTTAAAAGCACCGGTAGACCAAAATGGCAAAGGATACCTCGGGATCAGGTAGACGTACGCTCGCATTTTATTCTCAAGGATTTAATATCATTTAACATGCATTTGTAAAATTTATTTTTACAGCTGTTTTATTACAAATCACCGCAACATCAGAATCACTACGTGCTCAGTTTCGCATTCGCTTTCGATCGAGAAGACGATGTCTACCAATTTGCTTTAAGTTATCCGTATTCATATAATCGGTATCTCGGGCATCTGAATAATCTCAGTACCAAGATAGCCTATGTTCACAGAGAAACTTTAGCCACCTCGATTCAGAAGAGGAAGGTTGAACTGATCACCATAACATCTGATAAGAATAACGGTCAGGAATTAGCTCGGAAAGTTGTGGTAATACTTGCGAGAATTCATCCAGGCGAATCACCGTCCTCTTTCGTCTGTCAAGGCCTGATGGATTTTCTAGTCAGTACTCATCCGATCGCTCAGGTTCTCAGGCATTACGTGATATTTAAAATTGTGCCAATGATCAATCCCGATGGAGTTTTCCTCGGCAATTATAGGTAATTATGTCAATATCTCATCGTTACAGTAAAATTTATCTTCAAACCTACGAACTTATGGTAATTTTACGACAGATCTACATTGATGGGTATGGATTTAAATCGAAATTGGAATTGTATATCAGAATGGATTCATCCAACGCTAACGGCTATCAAATCGATGTTAGAATCTCTAGATAAAAACACATACACGCCATTAGATTGCGTCTTGGATTTACATGCACATACAAACGCAACAGGAGTCTTCGTTTATGGGAACACATACGAAGACGTATATAGGTAATTCTAATTATTCTTTAAATTATCTCTAAAGATTACAAATGGCATGCGAATGTAGGACACATCATTTCTTTACACGACCCTCGCTTTACGTGTCAAAATCTAACACCACGGCTGCCAGCCCCTTAGGTACGAAAGACATATTGTCTTACCAAAGTTACTCGCTCAACACACGGAGGACTACAACCTAGGAAACACGATGTATAATCAAGATCCTCACAAAGGTGGAACATCCCGTCGATATCTATGCTCCATTTTAAAGGAACATGTCAATTGCTATACCGTACAAGTATCAATGCATGGTTATTCTAGGAAAGGAACATCAAGTATTTTACCATATACAGAAGAAAGTTGTATCCTTTCAATATAATACAAACAAATAACGTTATCCTTGCCTTTGGTTAGATTATATAATAAGGGTTAAGAAAAACAAAGTTAAATTTAAATGTTCATCCTTAACTATCGATTTCAATAATAGATTACAGAGTCGGTCGAAATCTCGCACGAGTATTTTTAGAATATTACAAGTTAACCGGTCTAATACCGTGTGGACTTCCAGATCAACCATCGAATAAGAGTATCCGACAATCTCGTCAGAAACATCACGTATCAAGGCAGCCACGTTCTAAAATGGTCAGGACACCGGCTCCTTTACATTTAGCTAGCATTCACGAGTACGTAAACCATGTCTTCGTAAGGGAGGATAATAAAAAAATGAGATTGATCGATGTGAATGTATTTTCTTTGTCATTTCGCATCACCGTCACCATCATCATTATGAAAATTTGTGAGATTTGACTTTCAGGTATTTTCGGGAGGACATAGAGCCGCTCCCAAGCGCTCGTTACCGATCGATGAGCGGTACGCGTATGAGCCGGGCTGGAATTGCAATTGGAACTGGAACTGAAAGCGGAACTGGAATAGGAAGTGGAAGTGGAACGACGGGCGTCAACGGATGCAGGTACCAGAGCCACAGGTTCCGGAGCCCCGGGGCACCGCTCGACAGGGTGCAAGCTCCAACAAGACGACCCATCGAGCCGAGGCTTACCATTATCGATTTTAATCAGCTGACAAGAGGCGGTTTGGAACTGGCCATGAGTAAGAACAAGATTAATCGTCATCGCGGTCGCTTTAAGCTCCAATAATAAAAATATGAAAGAAAATTAAATTTCGTTCTTTCGTCGACTCACTTTAACGTATCACAAAGATATCTTCCATCTTTTCTACTGGTTTTTTTTTAATACAATAACATTTATAACATTTTTATATCTATATGTGATAAAAAAAACTGTAGATTACTTAGACGTACATTGTACTGAGGAATTTAATAATATATCATAACAATGTTTTAACAGGTTACTAAATATGATTTTTTAATGAATTTTATGATTTTAATAAATTTGATCTAGAATAAATCATGCGAAATATATTATTTAATATTTAGAAAAATGTATAAGCTCTTTAACTTGAAATTGGTAATCCTAATCACATTTAAACTAATTGTAAGTTCTAGAATATATAATTTGTAAGACGTGAACATAAACATAAAAATTAAATAGATAACAAATACAACAAGACATTAGTTGAAGATAATGCATTTATTTATACATACCTGGTTGCGGCAATTACGTTCCTAAAACTCAAGCAATCTGCAGTCGATGTAAGAGCATTAGATGGACAGAAGATGCAGGTACTACGTGAAACGGTACACCTGAACGACGTACAGGACTTGTAAGAATACGCGGCTGCGTCAGAGTTGCGTTATATCGTTATTAACAACAATATAAGACGACGACGACGACGAGAACAACAACTTCGACAAATTGTAAAGATGTTACCAAAATCGTACCCGTAAATTCAACCCACGTAAATTAAGAAAGAAATCGATAATAGTACATTCACGCGCCCTTTCTTTTCCCGTTTTTTATTTTTCTTCTTTAACCAACGTATAACATTATACGTTTTTCCAAAGTATGTGATGCGCGCGCGCGTGTATTATTAACGTATATATACGTATATACGTCCCCACGTGTACATATATATCTTTTATATATCCATATACTTCTCTTCTTTTTTTTTATTATATATGCAATATATGTATATGTATACGTCAGTCAATCGGAACAGAAGAGGAACTAAAACGGAAAGAAATGAAACTATAGCGAAAGAAGGGAGCAGACAAGCGACCAGTAGATCTTCTACCCCTGGGCTCGAGACGGAACTGAACGTGGGCCGACGGACTTGAGACCTCGCCTGGCTGTTTTCCCTCCCTCTTATTCCCACCCTACATATCCTCCCTCAATTCGTTTCAACCCTCTCCTCAACCCAGCGAACCCATCAACGCCCTTTTACTCTCTCTCTCCCCCCCCTCTCACTCTCCCCTACCTATTCTTTCTCTCTCCCTATTTCTCCCAAACGAAGCTCCCGGTACTTTAGGGTCGGGCAAGACCAGGGCGGTGGTCGTTGAACCAAGTATATAGACAAACTGTCTGCGTCGAACTAGTTGCGCAAGACACGCTAGTATCATCTCTCTCTCTCTCTCTCTCTCTCTCTCTCTCGTTCGTTCACTTCCACTCCTTCATTTTCCCAGGAAAAACCACTAACACACGTATAATCAAGCACCGACACACGTACACATACAAACAATAGGATGCAACTTCAGTTGGTTAGATTCGTGCGTGTGCGGCCTTTCCGGCCCATCCTACTTTGGTTGCACTGGCGACCACCAACGACCATCACCACCAACCACCCACTCACCATATTCTCTCCTTACGTATTTGTGTGTCTTTTCGACTTTGGGCAAATCCACACGTACGCAGGCAGTGACTGTACTTTGGGCGGAGACCGATCCCGACCATCCAGGATAACGTTTACCTGCCTCGATATCGAATCCTACAGAAAGAAAACTTTTACCTTTCTCTTTCTTTTTACTTTTTTCTATGAATTTCTGTTTTTGTTTTGAAAGTAAGTTTACGTAATATTTGAAATAAGAATATTTAGCCAATGACTCATAAAAAACATCGTTGTTACTTCTGTTATTCAATGATTTCAGCATTGCTTTATATTTTCATTGAACATTTCTTCTAAAATTCATACAATAGATATTCATTGTCAATACGAGAAATTAATTAATATAAAATTTACTTTTAATTCCTAAACTACGAAATTTGGACTAAATAATTAATTTGACTCGATCACTTGATTGGTTGATAGAATATTATAATTATTTTAAAATATTGTGTCAAGTTAAATAGTCGATACATGACATAGTAAAAATTGTTGAAGAGAAGCAAGGTCTATACCTGAATTCTGGAATTATGGCGCTATCTTGTGATCGTATTGGAAGGCTAACTGCTGTTAGATCGGTCAAATGAAACTCCAACGTTATCGATATGGAATACAAAATGATATACTATTTTATTTTAAAAAAAGAAAACGATCTCAAATAAATTTCAATTTAATTACGACGGACAATAATTATTATCTATAAAACTTTTTTTCAAAAACAATTTAAAATATGTAACTATAGCAAACGAAAGACAAGATAAATATAGTAAATTCTTTTTTGAGTCTTGAAAAAAACAAAAACTTAATTCATTATAACATAATCATTAATTAAAATACTAATACTATATAAAACAAAACAAAAAATAAATATTACCAAATATTTAATAGTGATAAATTCTTAAAGATATATGCATTCTATAACTTGTTTACTACTCCCTATAATTATTGAAATTTACTAACAATTAAAAAAAAATTGAAAAAAGAATGTGCGTAGCCTCCACGCATGATAGACGAAAAACTATTATTATTAAAAAAATAATCAATCCATATATAGAGTGAGTATCCCTTAAAATCGTATACCATTACACTTACTAAATTAAACGAATGCAAAAATAATATACACAAAAAGCCTGTATACTTAAAATCGTACATGTTGGTATAACATTAATCGAAAGAAATGCATATTGTAATCTAAAAGTACAGAATATAAATTCGACGTACCGTCCTCTTCGAATTAATTTCCTTTAATTAATTATCAATCATTTCAGGTATAACATTTTAATGTATTTTACTAATATTTTCGATTGTTTAAATTAAAATACATTTTTTTAAACATTTCTGGCCTGTGATAACTGAATTTAAAATTTTTATTTAACAAATTTCAAATCAAAATTGTTTAATATTTCAAATATATTAATAGCTACGCAATTTTTAAACAAATATGCTTTGTATTATTCTTATTTTAATGAGTATATAACTAATTCTGATACTTAAAAACATTTAAATAACCGTAAAAATAAAGGATGATCAACCAATTTTAAAACTCGGAAAAATCTGATGTTCTAGCTGTTATTCCAACATGTACGATTCTTAAGTCCAGACGTTTTCTGTACATTATTTTAGTATTCGTTTAATTCACTTGTTATAAATTAATTTATTTCTCAATTTTCTTTTCATTCTAAACACACTACATATATCAATAATTTTCAAACAAATACATATCTAGTAAGCGTAATGGTGTCCAACTTTAAAGGACACTCACTATTTACTTATTGGAAGATAATGAAGTTGAAAAAAAGAGTGAAGAAGAGCGAGTGTGAAGTGAAAAAGGGTATGGATATATAATAATTTATGAGTTTTATTGAAAATTTTCGGAACAGTATGTATAAAATTGTTGTTTATTCAATTTTCATTTCTTCTATTTCTAAAAATAATACAAGTGACTTATGCTAACTAAAATATGATACAACAATCAATTTTAATTCGATCCAGATATCTTTGGAATAGTGCATCGATTTATACTTGATCGAGTCGTCGCCTTAATGAAATTATTAGACATTTTTAGGTTGAATATATTTTCCAAAAATGCAATTAGAATCTGTGATCCCTCCGATGCAAAATTCATGTAGAAATCGCCACTCCATATTATCAACATTTTATTGTAATTATTTTTCAAAATGTTAGAAACCTCAGAAGTGTATTTGATCAAATTTTCACAAATGAATTCAATAATATTTTCTTAAATTCGAACTATTATATCAAAACTTAACCGTAAGAACTATTATATTATCTCATCTAATAAAACACTCTGAACACTTGTTACTGTTTATTCTTTACTTTCTACTATTCGAATATTCTTATTTTTATATCGGTCAACTCACGGCTAACTTTATTTTTTTCTTTTGCATCTGTGTCGCCTTTCTCATCTTCATTCATCCCTCATACAAACACATTTCACAATAACTAACTATAACATATCTCACGCATACTCACACAACATTACCTAGTAACTTTCATAATCTCGTTCCACTGTCGATCAACTGTAAGTTCTGTTTCACTCTCTCTATCTCTATCTCACTCTCTCACTCTCTCTCTCTCTCTCTCTCTCTCTCTCTCTCCTTTTTCTCCCTACCTCTATGTTCCCTTTTTTTCATGTCATTTCATAAAATTCTATCGCTACCATCGCCTAAAAAATTTTACTTCAAAAATGCTATTGATAGAATGCATGAATATTATATAACATACATTGATTGAAAAAGTACTATATCATATTGTGGGGGAAAATATTTCCATTCCAAATAAATAGATATATGTGAAGAAAGAGATTAACCGAAGGCCCTAAATAATGCTAATGGTAAGTGATCAGAGGGTCATCAGACCTGAATTCGAATTCTGGTCCTATCAACTCTACAACCTAATTTTTTCATCAATCCTACAATATTTTATTATGATATTATATTCATTCATATAATTAATAATACTGAAAGGAAAGATATTTATTGTTTTTATCATATTTATAAAAAAATTTTGACATCTATAAAAGAAGAGAATTATTACAAAAGTTGTCAATTTTGTTTTATTTCATATTATTATCATATTATAATATTATAAAAATACTAAATGTCATTTTCTATTCAATGTTATAAGTGATATGTTAATAATTTATAATTATATGTGATATTTCTATACTATCTAAAAAAATTGTAATTTTAAAAGTCGCATTTCGTTTTATTCTTTTAATTTTTATTTTTTTGTCCATATTTTTTAAAGCTTTTATAATCGGTACATTTATTATAATGTCTACTAACTCTATTTTTGTAAAAATGACTAAAATGTGAAATGGAAACTATTTATTGTATCGTACACGGAGGCTAGATATAAGGAGGACGATCGTAATGTACGCAAGCGTCCGAAAATGAGGGGATAGATCTTTTGCCACTAGAGCGCGTTAGTGTGGCTAATGTCAGGTTTTTAAAACTATTGTCGCGGGCACGGAGGATAGATAACAGGAGTCCGAACGTAATGTTAAAAGAATGGTATCAATTTATGGGA